ATCGCGCTCGTTGCATTGACCTGTGAGACCACGTACAAGTCGGGGTTTCCGTACTTCTAGACGCTCTTGACGACCCCTTCCTTGGTCTCCATTCCATCGGCAAGGACTCGCCATGTCGATACGCAGGACGTTCTCTGAAGCACCTAAGCACGTCCGATTGTAGGTGGCAACAAAAGATCCGGTGAGATCTGCCGCAGTAGACAAGACTGGTCCAGCGGTTGCACGCAAGTTTACTCCGCGGTACAAAGAGCACACTGCATGGCTGACGTCCGGACATGCGACATCGCACAGCAGGGCGGAAAGACAACTGTACGGTAATCGATGTGGCGTCACGCTCCACTTGGAAACGACAAAGGGGCGTCAATTCCGTCCGTAATCTTTGCTCAAGGCCACACCTGACACAAAGTCTCGACATGAAAAGCTCAAAGCGAACGAGGACCCGTTTCGTTCACTCGCAGTGTCAATTGTTATTCGCCACGTCTCTCCTTATACAATGCAGAGAGACTGGAGCGAGAAATACTAAACCAGCAGTGCGTACGCCCAGAGCTGTGGTACCCGTCCGTCCCTCTCACGCACTACTCGACTCGCGTCTCCCGCCATAAATTACTTGTCTTCCTACCGACTCCTGTCCTTCCTTTCCTTCACCACACCCCCTTCTTCTCCGCCGCATGCTACAATCGCAGCAGCACCAGGTGCCCCTAATGCAGCAGCACCTTCTCTCGTCCAGCTCGTCCAAAGTGATCGCCGCCACACGGTAGTAAACACGCGTCCAGCTGCAAAACGCGCCGCGCGGCGTTCACGGCCTCCTCCTTCACGTGGTCCAACCGTGACAGCGCGCGCGAGTCCAGCGTGGCGCGCACGTCTCGACAGATGAGCGCGACGTCGTCCACTGGAAACGCTCTCTCGACCGCGAGGATGCGCACGCGCTCCATCGGGTCGAGCCACAGGTCGTTGCGACTGCGGCGACCGCCGCCATACGCCACTGGCGTCTGCATGTCGACCTCCGAGTCCACACTCTCACAGTCGCTGTCCCCGCTGTCGACGTCGTCAGGAGACGGTACGATCGAGTAGTACCAGTGACGAGTGGGTCGGCCAATGAGCCCCACAGGGGGTCCGCCACTCTCGGGCACGACGCTGGCGTTGTACCCGACGTGGAACTCGAGGACACTCACGGCGCCCCACCGCACGCGTTTGTTGCTCGTCGCATTCTTCTCGACCGTCGACAGTTCCATCAGAGGTCGTCAGGAAATCTCAATCAATCAATCGATCAATCAATCGATCACACAATCAGTTGATCACTGACCGAGTGGCTGTCGGATGGACAATTGAATGGATAATTGGACGGCCAATTGGATGGACAATTGGATTGACGGATGCAGTTGTTTCCTGTCGCCTGGAGCGCTGAAAAGAGTGTGCGCGAGTCGGGAGCAGCGCACAACTGGTACAAAGTGATAGTGAGCGGCGACTTGGACAGCCCTTTGAGCGGCGACTTGGACAGCCCTTTTTACGTCGGGCAGCACCTGGTTGACTCATGATTGTTGGAGACGGGCCATGTGCCAGACGGGGCAGCTGATCGCACGACCGCCATGACCAACGGGTTGCAGAGGTCGAGTCGAGTCGGTGGCAAGTTCGGCCCTCGAGTCGGTGGCGCAGACGGCCGCCACGCTGACAAGTTTCTTTTCTACGCGGACGACCCGTTGACAACAGTGTTCCCGAGTCGCAACTCTTTGCTATTGTGCTGCACGTCACGTTCGCAGTTGCTTTTGTTGACCTGCGTAGAGAGCACGCGTACGTTCGTGACCATTGTACCCGCACGGCCGTTTTCTACTGCACTTGATTCTCGACGCGCACTTGACACGTGACGACATGAGCACCAACAGCAGCAGCAGCAGCAATAGCACTCACCGCGTGCCATCGTGCGCCAGCTGATTTCTGTCACCCTCTGCTGGCGGCTACGCATGACAAAGGTCCGACTGTGTCGGTGCCCCTTTGGCGTGCGTGCGACTTGTAGTGCACACGAGTCTGCAGGCTCTTGGGATAGAGTCTTAGGACAGTCAGTCAGTAGTACGTTTCGGATCAACGAAGCCGTCTGTCTTGTCAGACGGCTGTCGTTTGCGTTGTGTGGCAGCAGCCGGTTGCGGACCACCGCTTCCCGCCTGTTTGCAGAAGCATACGCGCCTCTTGACGTGTGTCACGCCCGCAGCCTGTGGCAGTAGCCATTGACGTCTGACGTGCTGACTGAAGCGAGACGTCGCCAGGACGGACCAGCACACCAACGCCGAAGGTCCTGTCTGGTCCGCTGGTCCTCGAACAGTCACTGGAATTCCGACAGGTACCGACTGGTCGTCGCGATCGACGCCACAGCGACATCGTTGCGCTATCTATCGCCTGTTCGCTTCGGACAATGCCGCTGAGATCCTTCGGCCAGCAGCGCAAGAAGTACGTGCTGCAGGTCTTTGTCGCGGCCACCACAATGGACAACTTCGAGTGGCTCGCAGAACGTGGCGGTCTATGGTCCTGCACCAGCGAACGTCGTGGTCGGATGGCCATCAGCTCAATGTGGCGGTGAGCAGCGCAGAAGGAACGCGTCTGCTCAGGCCCAGTGCCACCACTCCGTTTCGAGCAGTCTCCGCACCTTTGCCGGATGTGGGCACGTCGATTGTCAACAGAGAGCGTGTAGGACGAGGGAACGTGGTACCTGATTGCCGCAACGATCAAGACAGCCAGCGTGGTCACCCGCTTCACGTGGCCACGCACATCTATGCAGCCGCCAGTCACGCGCGTGGCCACGCAGAGTGCCACCCGTTAGCCACCGACGGTACAGACTGACGTCCGACGAGCTGACTGCACCGTACAGGGGATCGAGACGCAACATCGACCCAGCAGCTGCGCTGAACCGACGCTCGGTAGTTCAAGCTGCAAGGCACTACGAATGACGAGTTGCTGCTACGATTGGCACGTCTGTGACTATCCACCCACCCACTCACCCACGTGCCTGCGGTACAGAAGTGGAAGCAATCGCGTCGCGACGGCCTTACTCACGGTTCCTCGTGCCCTGTACTGGATTTCTCGCCTGCCGAAATTCCGTGCGACGGCCTCTGGTATCGCAAAAGATAGAGGTGCCGGTACCTCGAGGTACCGAGTCGAGCCGTCGTCTCTGCTGAACTCGTTCGTGCTTCGATGCACTTCTTTGCACATGTAAAAAGCACAACTGCGAGCAACAACGGGTCGCGGCATGTGACTGGCAATGTCGAAGATATAGAAAGGAGACTGGTGATGGGTCGTCAGGAGCGTCGTGACCAGGTCTTTGTTAGTGCTATGTTACGTCCCGTCCCGTCCCATGTTGCCTACTCACAACAGGCTGACTCAAGACGGCCATGGCGATGCTGCAACTTGATCTCAAGTTCGAGTATGATGGGTGGATTCTTGCCAGTGACGTTGATCTGGAACACAAGTAGCTTTCAGTCAAGTACATGTCTACGTACCTCCATTGGCAGCACGCATTGTCGTACCCTTTGCATCGGCCGTATCAATACAACATCAGGCTGCTGCAGCTCTGTTGAGTCTTTGTGTACTTCAGGTTGCAGTCCGTTGCTACCTTATGCAGGTTTTCGCCAAGGACGGTCTTCAACACGGTGTTGACGTAATGATCGAGCGCAGCCAGAGGACCATTACTGGCCGCTTCGTATGTGCCTTTTGAGCCGTACGCCAAGCGTTTAAGCTGCTTACAGGACAAAGCGACTTGTTTGAAGTGGAGACAGCAGACCATGATGTCGATTTCTGGAGCTCAGTAGAGCTTTCCTGATACGACAGCGATGGCGAAGTAGCAGACAGACATCATTCTGATCTCTGGAAAGTGGCTGCACAATACAACAAGGCGAGAAGTAAGCAAGGTATCGTTTATCTATGCGCCTCCATTGGGATTGTCTATCACATTCTTTTTTGTAAACAGACTGCGCTGCGAAGCACTTCAACGCTTGGAGAAGGCACAAGAATCGTTGATAACAACGCCGACATCGCCGACGACTGTAGTGAGACCAGCGCCACATCTTTACAAACAGCCATCTGATGAGCTAATTGAGCGGAGGTAGCAGAACCGAAAGACCGCGGCAATGTCAGACCTTCATGCAAAAAGATCATCTCTCGCGTTGTTTGCCTATCATGTGTGTTCAAGTTGTCTGTTTCTGACAAGAGCCATAACTAAATTCGGTATCGAGAACGGTAATGCGGTGAAGACGTTGCCATTGTACCACTCAACAAGCTACAACAAACGCCATCGACCCGAACAAGCAGCTTGGGACAATAAGCGTCAACGCACGTACGTACGTACGTACGGGATCTTGCGAATTGACCAGGTGTGCAGCTTATATAATTCTAGTTGGTTATCGCCACTGCAATCCCTTTGTTCATCATTCCAAGCCAAGGACAGTTGCATATGGCGTCATCTAACATCAAGCAAACTTGCGTTATGACCGAAAGCAGCGATCTCTTAGTTCTTCAACGCACCGAGCTGTTCCTTGTACGCCTAGCTGCCACGTCCACAGCCCTTTTTGGCGTACAGATGTGAACATGTAGGCACAACCGCTTCCCTACATCATCATACTTGTGCACAGGCACGTGACACGTACCAGCAGCTCCGTCTCCTTCACTGTCGTGAGCTCAGTCATGTCACTATTGCCACGATCCGCGACACGTCACATCAAATCATTCCTTTGAAACGTGCTGAAACGTTTCAAGACAACGTGATGCCGCCATCTAATCGACGTCCATTGACTTGTCTTTCATCGTAGCAGACGAATGCACTACCAAAGACTTGTTGTCTTCTACACTTCGTGTGCATATCTACACATCCCTGCAGTGTCGTTCCAGTCGAACAATTATGCTTGATCCCGATCCAATCATATACGTAGTCCATCGACATCAGCTGCCTGTCATTGCAACAATCGCTCACACTTGATCGACAACACCTCAACGTATTGATTGTCGCCAGATACCGACCGTCATGGCATCGTCTGCTGCACTTCGCGACTCCAGAGGTGTCTGATAATCTCTCGCTGTTGTGCGCTATCCGATTGGAGATAGTCCTTCTGCACCGTCGCATCTTGCATCAAGTACGTCAACGCACTGCTAAACCTGACAAGGTACGGCACAATGTCGGTACGCCACATCTTGTCGTCCCACGCCACTGGCGTCATCTTTGTCTGCGTCGTCGCAGCCTGCAAGTGCTCGACGATCTCGCCTTCTTGCACTCCCAGTATGAACAAATACGTCTGTAGCTGCGCAATGTCGTACTTGGGCAATGGCGACAAGAACTTCTTGAGTCGATTCTTCACTTCAATGACTTTTCCATCGGCTCGACCGTCGACTTTGCCACCGACAAACACAGCAAACGGTCCGTGTGCCTCGACCTGTCGCTTTGCAAACACAACGTTGCGCTCGTGTACAACCAGACGCTTCTTCTTCTCATACGCTTCGATACCTGCATTTTCGTGCTGGGCACCAAATACTTTGTGCATAGACGACGTGACGAACTGGACCACGTCCGACTTGACGGCAGTGGGTGTGGAACTCGGCAACGAGTGTACCACTTGAGCTTGAGCCTGTGCCACCTGTTGGATCGTATCGGCTGTCGAGGCTTTTTCAAGCAGCTTTGCAATGGCTGGTGCAACGCCCAAGTCCTGGACAATGGCTCGCATCGTCTCTTCTTGGCTCGGGAGGACAGCGAGGGCGAGGGATTGTTGCAAGGCAGAGACTTGTCGAGGATTCGTGCGGCGCCAGACGTTGAGGAAGACGTCTTCGATCTTGCGATACGGATTTAGTGCGCTTATTACAGGCACTTCACTTGCAAAGATCATAATGTTGCGCCGCTTGAGAGCTCGTCGCATGGTCAGGAATGCAGCAGCGGTCAAAAGTGTGGACGCAATGGCGAGAGAAATGTGTGGCTGCTACCACACGTTTTTTTTATGGCTCGATACCGAAAGGTTGCGACGTGTGTGTGTGTGGCTGGATTTCGAAGTTCGGGCAACTTTATTCTGGCATGCCAAGAAATTGGACGTCGTTTTGCACACATGATCGGTCCTAAACGCCGTGTCGTTGTGACCAAAGATAGCACTTGCTAAATCTAGTAGGTTGGTATTGACGGACATATGGGGTAGATGTTATGGTTCGGAAGGCATTGGGCGCTGGTTGGTATGCATTGCGAACCTAAGCATGCCATTGCGACAAGCGACCGAGCATTAGCGTCAAAGACTGACAGTACTATCGTGAGGAATGCAAGTGGTAACGTCGACGAAAGCCATTGACTGCCGTGCCCGTGCCATGCTTCTTGACTGGTAGTCGACAAGCAGACTTGCTGGTAGAGAGCACGACGCTCAGACTGTGGCTTCAGTATCGTATTCCATTGCAATTGCCGAACCGCAGTGCACATTCCTATGTCCTGATGGAAAAGGAAATTGCGTCGTTTGGTACCTACAATTTGCTGTCCAGGTACTGTGTGCGGAGTCGGCCACGTAGTGCAACACTGATGAAGCGTGTTACGTTTGCGGTGCGAGTGGCTCTGGCTGACCAATTCTCTAGCTGACCAGACGACGTCACTGTTTTTTGCCGTGAGGAAGTACACAATAACAGACGCGACAATACTTATTGGGTCGGTCGTGGCCGACGGACAAATAATTCTCTTCGTAATTTACTTCTCCACAACTGGTAAAGTATGCTGTCATCTTTCCGATACAGTATCCTATTCACACGACGGTGCCGCTCTTGCAGCACCGTATCGTTACGCCATTGTGACTTTATTATTATCAACAACCACAATGGACGAGGAGACCGAGAAGCTAATGGAGCGTGTAAGTGCGTGCGTGTGTGGGTTTCTTTCTTTTTCGATGTGGTTGGCTCTTATCGACAATCAACCAACGAGGACTCTATCGGATCACTATAACGCTACAATGTGCGCAGGAACGCTCGTGTATTTTCGAAGTCCGCAATGAGCAGGCCGACCTTTGTCGCCAACGGGGCTCTGTGCACTTCCAGGCGGGCAAGATCGACGAGGCCATCAAGTGGTACGAGCGTGCTCTATACCACGTGGACTTTGATGAGGGAACGTGGCATTTCGAGGTGCGGCCATTGACGAGCAGGGGACCGGTTAAAGAGCGTTAAAATAGCGTGCTCGTCTAACGCTATCGCTTGCATGACTAATCCTCGCGTGTCGGATGGGGAACAAATAGTTTACCGACAAGAACCGAGCCGATGTGAATGTCGTGCGGCTACCAGTGTACCTGAATCTCGCAGCTTGTTACTTGGTTCAAGGAGCGCCGAAAGATGGCGAGGTGGACATGCAGTCGTTGGACAAAGTGGTCGAAAACGCGGAGTTGGCACTCGCCATTGATCCGGAAAATGATAAAGCGCTCTATCGGAGTGGACGCGCGTTATTGCTCACGGGGCATCTCGAGGGAGCTAAGGCGAAGCTCACTCGAGCTGCAAGTCACCACCCAACGGATGTGAATATCCGTAAAGCCATGACGATGTTGAAGGAGAAAGTGGCGGAGCAGAAGAAGGAGGAGAAAATGCGCTGGGGTGGCCGTCTGCTGGGTAAGACCGAGGCAGCCGAGAGCAAAGCTGTTTCCAAGCAGCGTTCGCTGCAGCTGAAAAAAACGTCCGAGTTTAGTCACGCGCTGTGGATGGCCGCTGTTGTGCTCATTGGTATCGCATTGGCTCTCGGCCAACTTAGTTTTGTGGAGTAGCTGAAGATGTGCAGCGGCGCAACGGTCGTTTGACGTCATTTAAGTAGCTGAAATGGTTGCGAAACATGGTGTATGATGTTTGGCGTACCTGAAGAGATTGATTCTTGCAGACACATGCCAAGTGCATGCATGTTGACCTACGTCTTCATGTACCTCTCCCGACGTCACGCGAATCCGGCTGTTGCGTTCAAAATGTCACCTCTTGTGCCTCACTAGCCCATGCTTGTGAACGACAGCATTGCGTTGCAGGTGGTGCCCGTCGTCACAAGTGCACACTATAGTGGTGCATTGCATAAGGTATCTCGCTTGTTCGTCCCAACTTAAGCGAGCGACAGACAAACACTAACGCCTGGCGTGGCAAACGGATAAGTGACTCGAGGGCGTCTCGCAGGTCAGCAGCACATTTGTGCTCATGGTGGCCTTCATGACCAGTCGTTTCGTTGGTATTTGCCACAGTATCCCAATGATCGAAACGGCAAGCACAACAAGCGTCAACCGGACTTTTTGTGGATGTGCGTCTCAGCTTTCGCAAACAACTTTCATCTGTACGTGCTGTGCAACGCTCATTTACCTACTGGCACTGCGCACGTATCGCGGTGTCAAAGCTGTTGCAGTGGCCCGCCTTATAGACCGTACTCGATCGACCCGTCCTCGCCTTCGGTCTCGCGTATCGCCAACTCTTCGCAGCCATGCAGCGCTACAGCTGCACGACCTCGTGGAAACGACTCGGTTGCGACTTGCTCCACTGTGAGACCATTGTACGTACTTCGCTTGATATGTTTCTTCCTAAAGCGAGGATCATGTCGATGTATTGACCGACGACGGAAGACGGCTGTTGTCTGGCTTTTGCTTGCATCTTTCAGTGCGCGACGACGTTTGTCATAAGCGTCTGGATCCAACTGCCTCCAGCGTCGACACAGTTGAGACTTCGTGCGGCCACTTAGCTCAGCAGCCAGCCGCGGCCAGAGCCTGGGCGACTCGATGCCCCACTCGCGCATTCGTGCAAGAATGAGTTCATCTTCCTGCTTGGTAAACTTGCGGGACGACAAGTCCGGGTTAATGCAGTTGACGTATCGGTCCCGAAGTGCTGGCTGCGTTCGCCCGGGCACATGATGACAAATGTCGTTCCACGGCACTTGATCCTGATTGAACTCACTGCCTTTTGGCACGTAGGCACGAAGTGCGAGCAGCAGCCGTCGATCCTCGATCAACGAAAACTTGCCTCGCCGAAGACCGGGGGCAAGCGAGAGCTGCCAGCGATGGCGGATCTGCTCCGACACACGGCCATCCAGCAAATCTGCAATCACGTTCCACTTTTCGCCAAAGACCGGGACAGCTTCACGCAGGATCTGATCTTCTTCTGGGGTGAATATCGACCGCGTGTTTCCCGCGTTCAGCGCTGTCTGGTACCGAGTTAAACAGTGAGCTGCTGGTCTTCCCGGCACGGGCATGCGCTTTGCAATCTCGTGCCACTTATTCACCAGTTCCGGGTCTTCTTGTCCCGTGGCCAACCGTCGAAGCGCTGCGTCTTCCTCTTTCGTCCACGCGCCAAGCCGTAACGTCGGCGACTCGTGCAAGTCATACCACAACTTGCACGCAAAGCCCGAGCGTTCAATCGGAAACTTTCTCGACTTGCGCGTCTCTTGCCACGCGCGAAGTTTGTTCCACGCCTGCAGTGGTATCTCCACGTTCGCAGCGTGTGTCATGTAGAAATCTTCGGCAAAGTCCGCAACGACTTTACGCTCTCGACTCGTGAAAATCGTTGGGGGACCGGCTACAAACGACTCGTGGCTGTGAGCACGTAGGAACTCGGTATCTGCATTGCACGGCGGCTCGGAAAGCCGTCGAAGCGCTTTGTGCGCAGCGTCTCGTGCATCGCGGAGCTCCCGTACCGCTTGGTCGTCCGCTTCGTCTTGCTCCTTCCCCTTCTTCCGTGGTCGCCCCACCTTTCGTTCCTCCACAACTTCGTCGGCAAAGAACGACACGTGTTGACGAATGTATGAACGAGGCACGACACCAGTGGATTTCTTCCGACTGCGTAACGTCTTCGCATACCGCTGCGAAAGCGTCTCGTGCGACGGCGCACGGGCCAATAACGTGTCCATGGCCCGTTGCGCTCGTCGCAGCGCCACTTGCCGGCGAATACATTGCGTTCTGGCGAGTAGCGTCGACTCTTCTTGGGCCAGTGACTGCTCGAGCGATTGCAGCTCGGCGACGAGGGCGCAGTTGGCGCTCAGAGCGTCGGCGATCGCGTCGGATGGAGACGGAAGCGCTGGGACGCGCATGGTGTAAAACGACTGGTGGTGACGTAGTCGTCGATGCGCTCCCGAGATGGCTACAGATGTTCAAGTGGCTACAGATGGAGAACCGCTCACGGCGTCAGCATTGGGTTTTGCTGCTGGTTCGCCCCTCATTTACACATCGTGTGGTGTACACAAACCTGTCAAACGGACTCCTGACCGACCCACTGTGTTTCTGTGCCTCTCGCTCCCGGATCGACGCACGCGACAGTTGGCTACAGCTCGACGACCTGCAAGATGGCTACATCCATACAGGGGAACGAACAGTCGGTGGAATGGACTCGAGACAAAGTATGTGTGTACAATAGATTACAAAATGACTAGCAATACACACGTCTTCGATGGGATCTACATGCTGCGACTGCCAGCACAAGTCTCACTTGACGGGATCGCGTTGACGGAAACCGTTCGGACTCTTACTACTGCGTCTGCAGCCCCCAAGATGGCAACGTGTGCCTTGCTTATATTTACCTCCGCCACGCTCTTTTTGTCAACGCTCTTGGGCGTCACTTGTACGTCTCATTTATTAGCGTCAACACGTCAACGGTGCCGGCGTAAGCGACAAGACCAACGAACAACACAGTGACAGCGACTCCAGCCAGACGACTGTGTTCGCCATATGCAAGCATCTCTTGCGCCTCGAGCTTCTGACGTGGCAATAAATAGACCATTGGTACCAGTGCAAGCAAATTGATCGCGCAGTTCACTACAACAAACGACAAGACTTGAGTACGCGTTTCGGAAGCGTCTTTTTCAATCACATCGTGCGCAAAGCCTCGCTGGAGCCCTGCTGTTGATGTGCTGATCGCATCCGAGAACGTCGAAATCGCCATGCCAACCAATGTGTTATACGACAGCACTAGCCCGGTCGTCGCACCCTCCAAACAAGTCTCCGTGATCTCCACAATTGGCAGCAACGTGACCAGCAAAAGGGTTGCCCGCGAAATTCCAATAAACGACGAGGTCGACAATACATACCACGTGCTGCGAACACCATCCAAAATCGTCGGAAGCGTTGCCAGTAGCGTCACGCCCACTCCGACGATCAAGCCGCCAACAGCGATGCGAATCCAGCTGTAGTTGAACAACGTGAGCCGGAAGGCCAAAATCGATAGAATCATGACAATCTGCTTCAAGATCTCGCCCACGCGCTCGTCGTCAGGCGTCACGTGTGACCAGTACAGCACGGCAGCATCGGCAAACTTGAATCGGAATGCAGACAAAAACATCGAGCAGCACACGAATACGAGGGTGCGCCACACTGCCTGTTGCTGCAAAATACTCCACAGCTGACGAGTAAGCGACAGCCGATCAATTGTATCCACCTTGAGCTGCCGAGGCTCCTCGTCCAGTCGAAACAGTACCGCCGGAATCGGTATCAACGTAACAACAGCCATGATCAAGATGACCACTTTCATCGACACCATAGCCTCCGTGGTTCCTGACGTCTCGTTATACCCCAGCACGAATGCAATCATGACATTCGCCAACAACGTTGCCGTCTCCTGTGTGAGCAAATACTGAACGAGCAACATGCCACGCTCGTGAATCGGCTCGCGTTGTGACAGCTCCACCAACAGCGCAAAGGCAGCAACTGACGCGACAGTGACTCCTAAGCTCGCTATCACCATCAATAGCACGTACACTGCGCCTCCGTAGAAATCCCGGACACTGGCATACGTCAAGTCCGTGTTGTCGTCGACCACAGTGACCACAACAAGAGCCATGAGTGCCATGTAAGCCAAAATCCAGCCGCCAAGCATGTACGATTTCCGATGGAAGCTCCAGATCGGGTAGAAATCCGACACGAGACCGATGAAAAAGCTCATGACACCGGGGACCTTGAGGAAGCGACGCGTGGCCGTGCATTGATCACTGTTGAGTGTCAGGTACATGCAAAGCAATGGCTGGAAAGCTTCCGCCAGGACCGGAGCCATGAACCCCGTGACGGCGGCAGAGATGGCGAGTCCGCAGTACGGCTGGGAAAAGAGCTCTGCCAGCGCTCCCGCGCGCAGACTTCCGTACAACAAGTGATTGAAAAAACTCGTTGGCGGGGCTGTAGCTGCTCGTCGTCTCTCTGACGGTCGAATCATCTCCTGAAGCAGCTGAATCGAAGGCGGTGCGGAGCTGGATCGACCCACGACAAACATCTCGCCAAGGGAGTACTCGCGATCGAACGTCGTGTCCTGAACCACGTGCCGTCTCTTGTGCCGATTGTGTCGCTCTTCGTACGCGCTGCTTGCGGTTCCTGTGGTCGTGGCCATCGTGGCAGCTTGCGAGGCACAACTGAGGCTCAAAACATCGTCGCTATTGTCCGTTGGGGTTGTCGAGTGGACTCGCACTTCTCGGGGAACACGGAGTCCGTAGATATCGTCTCCTGCTCCAGTTAGAGCTGCCATGCGGTCCCACTCGTACGCGCTGCACTCGGCATTGAAGGACCCTTCCGAGATGAAGCTGTAGCTCTTGGACGACCGCTCACTTGCCATGGCAAAGCTCAACTGGGTATGCTACAGACGTGTAGCTGTAGGGATCTATGTCTGTCTGTCTGTCCGTCTGTCTCTCTCTCTCTGTATGTCTGTATGTATCGATCTATGTATCGATCTATGTATCTAGTTAGTTTGCTATCTATGGACGTTAATATCGCTCGACCTGCCTGTCTGTCTGTCTGTCTGTCTGTCTGTCTGTCTGTTTAGTGCCTTGTCCGTCTTTAACTGTATCGAAATAGCGCTAGAGGTCTTGTCGTCTCGCGTCGGGAAAACAGTTCTGTGTCGACCGGCGCAAGGCCAAAAACGCGGCCGCGACTGAAGTCAAGTGGCAGCGACGAGCAAAAAACGCGGCACGGGACGTGATAGAGGGCCGCGATCGCACGCAATGCGGACATGTACGAGGGGGGAGGGGCGACGAGGAACTGCTTCCTCGGTGAGCGCGGCCGAAGCAGTCGGTGCGGTATTTCTCTGGTTAGAGCGGTCGCGGGATAGTCAGTTTTTGTCAGTGTACGCTCTTTTTTTGGTCCGACTCGTGGTCGAGGGACAGGGCCAGTGTGTACTCTCTAAGTGTTTGTATGATATTCGAGCGACGTTACGTCAAGAGAAAGGGACATATGCTCCGACCCACTGGTGCCCCGTCACGAAGGGACAAGAGGAAAAGAAGAACATCCGCTGCCACAAATAGGAGCCACGCGCCCGAGCTTTTCGACCGCTTTGCCATTTCTACGTTTCCATTGTCCATGCGTACTCCTTCTCTTCTGCTTCCGTACGCTATCATTCCATCGAAAGATGTCCACCAACAGTCCACTTTCGAGCTGTGCGGTTTCGCTCGTGACCGTTTCTCGAGCTCATATGATGTATGTGACTGTGTGTGTGCCTTTCCCGGGTGATTTCTTCGCTACCGGAAGCACCAAAGTATCTGCATCTCGATTACTTTGGTGCGTGGTAGATGGACATGTCGCGGGAAGACGGTTACGAGACACAAAACCCATTGCGCCGTCATCGTCTCTTTCTGCACAGTTTAACACGGACATTGGGACACAATGCTGAACAGTCGTAATGTCTCGAAGACGCTTGAACGAACTCAGCCGTTGCGTTCGTCCGCGACTGTGGTGCTAGTAACGCTGACCATACAGACAGACGGCTGTTGTGCGGTAGTAGTCGAAGTAAAGAAACCACGCTGCCATTGACAGACGCGATTGATCGGGACCGATGAAAACACGATTGCATGATGCATATTGTAGTCTTGTCGGGCCCTTGACATGAGAAACCGCGTCATGGCAGATCGCAACTTGCTGCGTTCGATGTAGCAGCTTCCGATGCGCCGTAGCGACTGCCTTCTTACGCGTACCAGTTACAGCACTTTATATTTGACGTCACTTTATTTGCAATTTAGGACAGCTGCTGACTGTATCGTTGAGCATATGTTTTTGATACGTCTTAAGTCCATTTCTAATTGTGCTCTCCCTGCATTGTCACGCGCACTATGGCCGGACTCGTGGAGAAGCTCGTGAAGCTCGTTGGACGGTGCGTGGCTTCATTGCCGTGCTGGCCACCTCTTGAATATCTGTAGCTAACGTATGCGCTCACCTCATTGCCCCCTGCTCTCTCTGCTGTCCATGCAGCGCGTTCTACTCGGATGAACATATTATAGTACTCAGTGCGCTCATTCGCGAAAAGTTTATGAAGGTGGGCTACCAAGAGGATTGGCACGAGTACTATTTTTGGTCATTTCTATACCTCTCTTTTGTGATAACGTCAAAATGATACGTGCTACTATAGGACGACGAGATGGGGAACGCTGTCAACTTGCAGACGCGTCAAGTGCGCAAGATTATGAACGAACTGCATCAGGACCACCTTGTTTGCGAGTGCGTTGCATGTGTACTTGGACGTATCGTGTGGACACTGATCGAGGCATATTTGAGTATGTACGACTCATAAAAAAAGTAGTGTCGTACTGACGTGTACTGTCCTGATTGCTATGGGAGCAGGGAAGTGCTGAACGACAAGCGAGTGGGCGGCAGCTCGTCGACGTCGTACTGGTATATTGACTACAAGCACTTTGTCGACGTGGTGCAGTATCGACTGTACCTGATGCATGAACACTTGAAAGACAGTGAGCAGCTAGAGCTGGAACGACAGACTTTTCAGTGCAGTGACCCAGAGTGTGGACGGGAATACACGGCGCTCGAAGCGCAGCTACTGCTCATGCCAGGGCAGTTTCAATTCCGCTGTGGTCATTGTAACGAGCTGCTGCTTGAATGTGACAACAACGATCGACTCTTGCGGATTCAGAACTTGCAGCGCAAGTTCAAGGACCAGATGAACAAGCAGAATGGCATGCACGAAGGCATTTACGAAGTCCTTCGTCGTATCGGTGACTTTGTGAAAGAAGGCCATGTGCTCCCAAATAATTTGCCGAGTGATAATCGAGCTGCTGGGTTAGGGGGCAACAACGCTCGTGCTGCTAATGGCACTAATGGAGGTGGCGGTGGTCGTAGTGGAACGAGCGGCGGAGGTGGTGGTAACCGTGCTGACGATCCGAAAAGCCAGTCGTACTTGTATCCGTACGGTGCACAGGACCAAGAGATCGTCGTGGATATCGTTGGCAATGACCAGGCAGATGACGAGTATCTCACAAGTAGGGATCGGAAAGAGGACAAAGAGGCTGCGAATCAGCAGGTTGCAGCGCCTCGGGCGTTGCCTGAGTTCTTGCTCGGTAGTTCGATTAGTGGCCACATGGTAGCTAAACACGTGCAGGCCGCTGCTGCGGTTGCAGAAGAGAAGACGGTCGCCGTGGATAATGGCATCCAGGGCGTGGACAACCTTACTCAGAGCGAAATGACGGAGGAACAGCGACAAGAAGCGTTCAAGCGTGCGTACATGGCAGAGCTAGAACGCTACAACGAAGAGAACCACGAAGGAGAAGTGCAGGTCGAAGTTGACAAGCAGGGCTGGGATGCCGAGATGAATAGCGATGTGGATGAAGAGGAGCTAGAAGATGTCGAGTGGGAGTGGTGCTCCGACGACGAGGGCGGCAGCACCGATGCCGAGGTCACTGTGAATGGTCAGCTGAAGCGATTAGATGGCGTGGACGATGAGGATCTGCTCAGCATGACGGAAGAAGAGTTTCTGGTACGTCGAATGCGGTTGTGTATCTGACTCTGTGACGAGTGAGAGGTTCTGATTGCCGTTGTGATGCTTTTGCTTGCGGTGCTTACAGAGCTGCTACCGGATGTGCTTAGCTGAGAACGGCGTGTCGCATTGACAGACGACGGAAGCATGTGCAATTGTTAGTGCAGAGCGTGAGGTAGCGAAGATTGATCCTCCAGTAGCTGAAGCGCTACAAACGAAGGACGGAAACTGGCAATACGTCTACATGCCCGTGACAGGAATGACGTTGTATCGGCGGAGACTCTTCTGTAGTCCTCGTGACAGAGGAAGTTCGTCGTATAAGAATACTAATCTGAATGTTTATTTGCTGCAGCAGTGTTTTTGTCTCCAACTGGCGCCGACCAGAGCATGCTGTTACATTCTACTTGTCGTCAAGTTGGCACAATACACTCAGGATCGGTGTACACGAACATCGCTGTGCAGGTACATCATCCTGTAGATCCGAGCTCATTATTTGTACCCATCGCGGCGGATGCACCGTGCTAATCTCGACAGGTCTACACCACCAGCTCTGGTTCAAATAATGCGAACGGATGCAAGTGGGGTCGAAGACTCGACGCAATCTTACGATCCAGCTGCAGGTGGTGTAACAGTACCGAAAGACTTGAGCAAGAGCTTGGTCATCGTATCGTCCATCAGTCCAGCGGACTCACCATTCGACGTTGCCATCGTTCGTCCTGCATGGCTCCTGGCAATGGCCACAAACAGAAGGTACGACGCGATGACTCGCATCTATGAGCTGACTTCTGCTTATCTATAGCTACGCGAACGTCGTGTCTGCAACGACGACACAAATTAGCCGCGGCTAGATGATGACTTTTCATCGACGATTGCCTGCTCACCCATGCATTACGATGCAGCGCGGTGTGCACGTCACTTGTCCATTGGTAGCAGCAGATCAAAAACTTGTGTGTAGAAATGCTGCGAGCGCAGACGTTTGTGACGAGATGCAGCATTCTGTTCCATGCTGAATGTGCCGTGATGGCTCTCACCATCAGATGCTGGACGCAGATCGACGAAAACAAACCCAAGTATCGCCAAGAGCTCGTCAATCCATCCAAGCGCAAGCCTTTGGGATAAAGAGAGACCACGTCAGTGTTGACAAGTGCTACATATCATGCCGATCTTCATGCGCACAGGAAAAAAGTCAGCGGAACACGTAGTGTGGCAGCTGACAAAAAGTATCTTGCAAACGTGGTGGACACACGTTGCAGATATGCGTCATTGCGCTTACCAGACGTTTTCCTCAAGCCAAGAGCGGGGCTTAATCGTTAGCGCAATGCGGCACCATATTGATGCTCGAGAACAAAGATGAAGGCGGCAGTACAATGGCCCATGCATTGATCCGGTGACAGTGTTGACGCTTCGCAGTATCGTCCGTGCGCCTAAGCTGCCTGCTTCAGCGTTCCTGGATACAACATGCGCGCAGCATTGGCGAAACGAGCAAACTTCACACAGATGTGTGCCAGACCGACGTACCAAAGCTCGTTACAAGCTCACTATGTGAAAACTCCATGACGCGTTCTTGCAGAAACGCACGCTTTTCTGCGCTACTGTACGATGGACAAATGCAAAAGAGCATGACGGCGTCGACACTGCACCATGTACATCGGCAACACACCCTCCACCAGATCGGAGCTACAAACGGGTAGCCTGCGATGCTCAGAGTATGGACGAAGTGGTCGTGTCGTTTTCACCGCTGCACCTCAAAGTATTCCGAGCTGCATGTTATACCTTCCACCAAATCTTGACAAGCCACAAGACAGTGTCGCATCTCTGCGAATGTCCTAGCCCACGTATCATTCATTGCTGAGATGCTTGCCATGAGCAATTGATGACGACGCATGGCTTATTCATGGTACCATTGTGCGAGACCTCGTCTGCAGTAGATGTAACAGCGATGGATATCCACGAGAGCTTGCGAAAGTTCGGTAAACTCATTAATGCGGTGCGACGGCATGCCTTACTACGGTCCTGGATACATTGGGGAACATCTCCCCAGTGCTTGGCGTGGCACATGGTATCACAGCGTCGCCGCGTCTATCCGACAATGACACTTACGTGCGCAACAGCACTTTCCACCTGACAAGTATCGAGATGCGCTTCGCACCATCGGTCACTTCTACGAAGAACTGTCGACACTTGAGCATCGCATAGACATGAGCCCATTACTGCGGGTATTGTTACACTTCGGCACGCGTAACAGTTGTCACTGACAGCTTCTCGCAATCGACATATGCAGTTCGTGCATCCATCTTCGTTGTCGCAATGCGATACAAGTCAGACGATATGCGATTGCGTCCAAATTTACAGCTTCGAGAACATGCGTCCTAAGGTCCGGACACCCAAACGTTGCGTAAAACACAGTTCTTCGATAAGCAATTCAGTGTACGTTACGACACTATAAAATCGGCGCCGGCACAAGATGTTGTCCGCATCCACCGTGGAAGGCATCTACAGAAGCAAGTGCATTCGTGTGTCCAGCTCGAAGAAAGCTAGGGTACGACATTGGCGCATCATTCCAACGTGGCACTGGAAGCAAGTGCTTGGACGGACATCATTGTCCATTCCAACCTCATTGACAGACACAGGTCATACTGTAACTCAGGATAAGCGACGTTGATGCCACTTTGACAGAGGTTCGACACCACCACCAAGAGCATGAGCAAGTAACATCGAGAGGCCAAGATCTCTTGCCTTCCACACATCCACCGTAGCAGCTAAGCATCCAAGATTACTCATCTTCTCAACCACATGCTTTCATTTTCCTTCGTCTACGCCAGCACAAACGTAGCTCTCAGTCGTTTCGACATTTCCAGTGACTCGAACGTCCGGATCAAGTCGACGTTCCCCGTCACACATATTGTCTCAAGCTTCTCGAGCGTCTCGAGCTGTTCAATTGGCAACGTCTTCAGGTTGTTCGAGCGCACGTCCAGCGTCTGAAGCTGCGTGAGCTTGGCCAGGTCCGTCGACAGCGTCGTCAGGCAGTTCTGTCGCACGTCCAGCCACTCAAGATGCTGCAGTGCGTACACGGCATCAGGTAACGCGCGCAGCCGGTTATTCGACAGATCGAGGCGTCGCAGTCTCGGGACGCGCTCTAGAGCGAGTGCTAAGCGGCAGGCACAGGCGTCGCCCACGTGTTCACACATCAGCTGACGACAGATCAAATCGTTGGACGTGCGAAGATCTAACGACACGACGCGCGCACCGAACCGCGCAATGTCCTGCAGAGACGTGGCCGAGAGATTGTCCGTCGTAGCAGACGTGAACAATCGACGTGGGATGAGCAGGAATCGAGAGGAGAGACAACGTGGTGGCCACATGGTCGTGTGCAGGTTGGTTGGCTGGGCGGGCGGGCACTCTGAAAGGGTACTGATAGCGGACTTCAATGTACTGATATGAGAGAAGGTTTTGCGGATCAGTCAGTCGATGGGGCAGAGGTGACCAACTAACTGGCTGTGTAGAAACAGACATTCGTTTTTTAGCTTGTCGCTGGAAACTTTGACCATTCTTCGTTTGTCAATCCGATACAGTCATTCAGCTTATCTTGCAACGAGCAGCCATCGCGTCTTTAGCGTATGTCTGCGCCAGTGCATTAGCCCTTAGTCGCACATTCAAGAGGTGCTTTCCAAAGAATTAGTACGATGTTGCATGATCCGAGAAAGGAGAATTGCGTCGAACAAGTAGACAGGCCCCGACCTCGCGAATATATATACGATGGTGCTCCACACACGTCGCGAACCTGACGACGCCCCACTAGGAAGTGTACGTGCGTCCAATAAGTAATGTAAATGACCAAGTGTTTTGTGATAAACATTCACATTGCTCATCCGGTCTCAATGGGCCGGATTGTATCGAATGTCTTAAGTAGATGCTACCGCCATAAGCCTAATGTACGTCAACATCTGCACCTTCACCTAAAAACGCTGATATTCAATCGGTCTGCAAGTCAGCCATATAGCTCCCATGATCAGCAAAGGCATGCCAAACGACGGCAATCGTTGGCGGCCACGTACAAGATGGCATCGGTGACCACAAACGTCGCTTATAACCTATTGAATAAAAATGAAACTTGGTCAGCAAGTCTCCCGCCTGAACGGACTTGTAGCAGGCTAAAGAATTGAGCAAAGCTCAACAATCAGTGACTGGTTGCACAAGCGCACCCAGCGCGAGCTCTGCTATTCAACCAAGATATAACAGCCAATCGACTTTGACATGACCGTGTATCGTGAGCCTGGATGAGCGGCTCACAAGAACTTGTCCATTCTGCGACGACGTGTGGTTGTATATCTATTTCACGAGTGTGCAGTGATCATAGACTCCATGTACAGCCACACGTTGTCGCAATACGTACGAATGCATCCTCTTGCTGGATTCGGCCAGCCGATATCGTCACTTAGACAAACAAGCATGTTGTTCACACGAAGATCCGGACGAACTGTCGCTGCGAATGAGCAGCAGTTGAACCCAACTTGGCGGAGAAAAGAGTCATAGCCGAATCACATATTCAACATTACCGAACTTTTACGCTTAGCGGGTTCGATCGTTCATCTCCACAACCTGATACTGCCCTGTCGGGAGCAGGCATTTACATAACGACTGTTTGCTGGCCACCTGTAGGCTCGTGCTTTTGCCATGTCGTAGCTTCATTTTACCGTGCCACTATGGAACCAGTGTTGAGGGAAGTGGAAGCCATATAAGTCCTGGTCTTCTCCAATGCTTTTCGAAGATGATCTGCATTGCTGCGAATGGTGCTTTGCATCGCAAGGAGAGGTAGAAGGTTCTTGTCCAACCACCTCTCGTTCGCACTGGGGTTAAAAAGGGTTGCATCACGACTGATCTACATGTAAACTTTTTCTGGCATGAGGTAATTCGTATCGGCCGTCAACAGATGGAAACAGCTGGTGCTACGCACCGGGTAAATTTTTTTACCAGGTGATCTAGGTGGATTGAATGTTTGCAAGTTCGCCTGCTACATCAGAGACGATGTTGCGTTGCAGGCGTAGTGCACGACTGGTCAGCCGATTCGTTGCGTAGTGCGGACACATGCGCAGTCCGCTCACTTACTACGGAAAGCAAAATGACATGAGTCTTATCGTGAACATTCCTGGTTTGGGCACATCGGACCTCATCAACAAGTCTGCAGAGTAATTGATCGCAAAGCTGTGTAACAGAGTTCCCTCCGACAAGTTTTGGGTACGACTGACGAGAGTTTGTAGGAAATCTAGCGGAGGCTTAACGACTAACCGGATCGCCGTCGCAAGACAGAAAGCCAATCAATTTGGTCAAGCAAAAAGCAGACCATGGCAAACGATAAACATCGATACGCCGAGAACACTAAGAATAAGACAGAGACCCGACTTTGGTTTCCAGGCTGCTGACAAGGTACGGTTGCGAGAGTGATGCGTACAAGCAATCAATGCAACAGCATCGTGTAGAAAACCCAGTACAAGCCAGGATTCTTGGTGCCGGGATCATCACTCTGAATGTAACATCACGATTGCGCAGGGGTCAACGGCACAGGACTGAATGATACTGAAGATGCAGTAAGACGATGCTTGAACGGAGTGAACACGAAATACGCGCCCGTAATAAGCAGGACGTAAGGTACAAAGATTGCGGAAGCTGATGCCACCTCAGTCATTTGCAAAGGTGCTTAGTCAACAACGAGTCGAGTGTCCTGATGTGTTGCTTGTCCTAGTAATACTGCTCTCATCTAGGTCTAGCAACGGACAGATGCGTACCTGCAAAATATGTACATGTGTGATACGAGACTAAAGTTGCAGTATGCCTCCGAACCTGTTGCATGCAGTTCGATTTTTGGGGGAGCTGCAGTTGCAAAGCGAGTGACCTGGTCCTCCTGAATGGCAATTCCCTACGGCATGTGAATGACCAGAAGCTTATCATTGCCAAGGGTCTGCCTCTTCGCCATAAGCGAGGGCCAAGACCAGACTATGTATTCCACTACCTACTTATATATTACACAAGTCGACAGCAGGCTGAACCGTGACCTCAACTGCACCATTTTCAGTAGCTATATCCGAACAATACTACTTGCGATGACTTCGGTTGTTATATCTCATATGGAGATGGAAAGAGGCTGACACCGATTGACAAAGATCAAAGCGGCAGATGCTGAGCAGCAGTTGTAGCTGGAAGATAAGCACAAGTAGCATTGTAGCAAGATTTGTGCGGCGTTCATTGCATTGCTTGAATCGATTTGTGTGAGCAAGAATGCTTATCCGGACTCTGACCGAAGACGATTCTGGAAGAGGTATAAGAAAAAGAAAGAGACGAGAAAATAGCGGACTCATTGGAAACGTGGCACACGTCGCAGAAAGGTCGATCTGGACGGACAGATCTACCACATCATGATGCCGGCTTCAAGTCTGATGTAGTCCTAGAAATGCAACGTCGTGCTTATAGGGTTTTCTAGGACCCGTCACCCTGACTTTGCAACGCATACAGCTCAATTCGTGTTGCGATGATGTCGCAGTAACATCAATGATTGCAACACAGCATCGTGGGGTGTGACGCGGTTCGTGCCACTGGTGCTGGAATCAACACGCCCAGGCAAAACCCACGATTGCGCAGGAATTTACATCACGGAACTGGAGAAAGATCGAAGGCGCATGAAGACCGTGGATGACGGAGGTGAGCGCGATGTGCGTATATGTGTACGAAGAGAACATGTAAGAAAACGCGGCGTGCAGCGCCAACTTGGTCATTCTCAGAATCTCTTAGCAAAAGTCGAGTTTCCCACTTACCAGTTCGCATTCACTGCACTGTTAGACCGAGAATCGCCACTGATCACCCTTGACGTCTGGTTTGAGTAGGACTGCTTCTTGACAACACACCGTTCATCAACTACATAGCTGCATGCGCATCGTGCTGCATATGAGCCAGTTCTTGTGGAACCCTGATCCACGAAGGCACAATGTACATCAAGCGATGGCGTACAGACTACAACTTAGCTGCCATGGAAGGAGCTCTGTTGATGCCCAGATCGACAATTCACTGGAGGAGCTAAACGTAGTCAAGACAACTTATCGGAGAAAGCACTTAGACGGAATGCCAAGAGAATGCCGTCAAACGTCGTGATGAAGAAGGCACGTTTGACACAAGACAGAAGTGGCAAACAGCGCGACATGCGAGCACTCCCAGATGCCAGCGGGACAAGTATGGGGCGAAGTTTGCTACTACCACCTGAAGCTGTTGGTGAGACCTTCTCCGTGTTCGCAGTGTTGACAATCGATCGCCGGACATCCCGAGCTTATACTCAATCCAACGATACATTGGAACTTTGTGCACAGGCAAGTAAGCGGAACATGAGGGGCTGTGAGGAGCAAATATGCCATTGGAGGCTCTCAGACAATTGCCAGATCAATCACCTGAGCGCTACCGATATCACGGGTCGGTGACACGATTGTGCAGCGAACGGCACTTGATGGAGCGACACGCACCATTAGGTAGTCCTCGATGGAAACCCAGTGCGCGGAAATTATTCGACAACGCTCAGACAACACAATCTTCGTGGTGACCTGTTTGCCGATCTTGCAAAGCCGTTGGGCATGTCGTGGCCAGAACGCTCGCCATAAATTTCTCCAGTGCCAGCTAGATCACGGAAAATGTGCGGAACATAACGCGGCAAAGGGATCTTGTTCGAAGATGTAATGGAGCCGGTCAACGGTACCTCGCACGTGATCGAGGGGCCAGATGCCTGAAAGTGGCTTGAGCCAGGCATGAGCGCCAGTCGCGGCGACAGATCGTGGCTGACTCTTGTGTAAGGCGGGTGTCCAAGTGGCTCTCGAGTCAATGGTGCAGACAGGCATGAAGCCGGGCTTCACTCATAGCAGTAGCTGCGGTTCAACGTGCACGTATCGCAATGGCCTTTGCTAACGACGACTCCCTCATTTCCACTACTGTGTGCCGCTTGACGTCGGAGAAATCGGATCTTCGCTGCAGATCGCCGCATTTCTCTCGGTCCACAGATGCTCTTGGCAGATGGAGCTTTAGAAGAACCAGATGCGCTACGATTCTGTTCCGGTGGCTGCGGAGCAATCGAAAGAAAGCAATTGTGCAGTTGCATGCGCACACAGCGTGACATTGGCGGCGCTTGGCGCGGTGACGCTGTGGCGAAAGTAGTTGGACACGACAAAGCACGTCGCGCGCTCGTCAGTCCATTGTCGGATCAATTGACCCCCATACGCTTGTGCGCTTACGTGGAGCAAGCTTTTACGAGATAGCGGCGCTCTAAGCATCTGCAATCTGTTGTACACCAACACTGATTCTTCTGCAGTCCTCCTGCTCAGAGACAGCGTGAACTCGGTCATTACGTGACGACTTGATAACATGTACTATCGACGCGACTACTTGTTTCATTCCTGCGTTGCAGGCACATGCGAGTGGATAGTCACAGACGTGCCAATCGTAGCAGCAACTCGTCATTCGTAGTGCCTTGCAGCTTGAACTACCGAGCGTCGGTTCAGCGCAGCTGCTGGGTCGATGTTGCGTCTCGATCCCCTGTACGGTGCAGTCAGCTCGTCGGACGTCAGTCTGTACCGTCGGTGGCTAACGGGTGGCACTCTGCGTGGCCACGCGCGTGACTGGCGGCTGCATAGATGTGCGTGGCCACGTGAAGCGGGTGACCACGCTGGCTGTCTTGATCGTTGCGGCAATCAGGTACCACGTTCCCTCGTCCTACACGCTCTCTGTTGACAATCGACGTGCCCACATCCGGCAAAGGTGCGGAGACTGCTCGAAACGGAGTGGTGGCACTGGGCCTGAGCAGACGCGTTCCTTCTGCGCTGCTCACCGCCACATTGAGCTGATGGCCATCCGACCACGACGTTCGCTGGTGCAGGACCATAGACCGCCACGTTCTGCGAGCCACTCGAAGTTGTCCATTGTGGTGGCCGCGACAAAGACCTGCAGCACGTACTTCTTGCGCTGCTGGCCGAAGGATCTCAGCGGCATTGTCCGAAGCGAACAGGCGATAGATAGCGCAACGATGTCGCTGTGGCGTCGATCGCGACGACCAGTCGGTACCTGTCGGAATTCCAGTGACTGTTCGAGGACCAGCGGACCAGACAGGACCTTCGGCGTTGGTGTGCTGGTCCGTCCTGGCGACGTCTCGCTTCAGTCAGCACGTCAGACGTCAATGGCTACTGCCACAGGCTGCGGGCGTGACACACGTCAAGAGGCGCGTATGCTTCTGCAAACAGGCGGGAAGCGGTGGTCCGCAACCGGCTGCTGCCACACAACGCAAACGACAGCCGTCTGACAAGACAGACGGCTTCGTTGATCCGAAACGTACTACTGACTGACTGTCCTAAGACTCTATCCCAAGAGCCTGCAGACTCGTGTGCACTACAAGTCGCACGCACGCCAAAGGGGCACCGACACAGTCGGACCTTTGTCATGCGTAGCCGCCAGCAGAGGGTGACAGAAATCAGCTGGCGCACGATGGCACGCGGTGAGTGCTATTGCTGCTGCTGCTGCTGTTGGTGCTCATGTCGTCACGTGTCAAGTGCGCGTCGAGAATCAAGTGCAGTAGAAAACGGCCGTGCGGGTACAATGGTCACGAACGTACGCGTGCTCTCTACGCAGGTCAACAAACGCAACTGCGAACGTGACGTGCAGCACAATAGCAAAGAGTTGCGACTCGGGAACACTGTTGTCAACGGGTCGTCCGCGTAGAAAAGAAACTTGTCAGCGTGGCGGCCGTCTGCGCCACCGACTCGAGGGCCGAACTTGCCACCGACTCGACTCGACCTCTGCAACCCGTTGGTCATGGCGGTCGTGCGATCAGCTGCCCCGTCTGGCACATGGCCCGTCTCCAACAATCATGAGTCAACCAGGTGCTGCCCGACGTAAAAAGGGCTGTCCAAGTCGCCGCTCAAAGGGCTGTCCAAGTCGCCGCTCACTGTCACTTTGTACCAGTTGTGCGCTGCTCCCGACTCGCGCACACTCTTTTCAGCGCTCCAGACGACAGGAAACAACTGCATCCGTCAATCCAATTGGCCATCCAATTGGCCGTCCAATTGGCCATTCAATTGTCCATCCGACAGCTACTCGGTCAGTGATCAACTGATTGTGTGATCGATTGATTGATTGAGATCTCCTGACGACCTCTGATGGAACTGTCGACGGTCGAGAAGAATGCGACGAGCAACAAACGCGTGCGGTGGGGCGCCGTGAGTGTCCTCGAGTTCCACGTCGGGTACAACGCCAGCGTCGTGCCCGAGAGTGGCGGACCCCCTGTGGGGCTCATTGGCCGACCCACTCGTCACTGGTACTACTCGATCGTACCGTCTCCTGACGACGTCGACAGCGGGGACAGCGACTGTGAGAGTGTGGACTCGGAGGCCTACATGGAGACGCCAGTGGCGTATGGCGGCGGTCGCCGCAGTCGCAACGACCTGTGGCTCGACCCGATGGAGCGCGTGCGCATCCTCGCGGTCGAGAGAGCGTTTCCAGTGGACGACGTCGCGCTCATCTGTCGAGACGTGCGCGCCACGCTGGACTCGCGCGCGCTGTCACGGTTGGACCACGTGAAGGAGGAGGCCGTGAACGCCGCGCGGCGCGTTTTGCAGCTGGACGCGTGTTTACTACCGTGTGGCGGCGATCACTTTGGACGAGCTGGACGAGAGAAGGTGCTGCTGCATTAGGGGCACCTGGTGCTGCTGCGATTGTAGCATGCGGCGGAGAAGAAGGGGGTGTGGTGAAGGAAAGGAAGGACAGGAGTCGGTAGGAAGACAAGTAATTTATGGCGGGAGACGCGAGTCGAGTAGTGCGTGAGAGGGACGGACGGGTACCACAGCTCTGGGCGTACGCACTGCTGGTTTAGTATTTCTCGCTCCAGTCTCTCTGCATTGTATAAGGAGAGACGTGGCGAATAACAATTGACACTGCGAGTGAACGAAACGGGTCCTCGTTCGCTTTGAGCTTTTCATGTCGAGACTTTGTGTCAGGTGTGGCCTTGAGCAAAGATTACGGACGGAATTGACGCCCCTTTGTCGTTTCCAAGTGGAGCGTGACGCCACATCGATTACCGTACAGTTGTCTTTCCGCCCTGCTGTGCGATGTCGCATGTCCGGACGTCAGCCATGCAGTGTGCTCTTTGTACCGCGGAGTAAACTTGCGTGCAACCGCTGGACCAGTCTTGTCTACTGCGGCAGATCTCACCGGATCTTTTGTTGCCACCTACAATCGGACGTGCTTAGGTGCTTCAGAGAACGTCCTGCGTATCGACATGGCGAGTCCTTGCCGATAGAATGGAGACCAAGGAAGGGGTCGTCAAGAGCGTCTAGAAGTACGGAAACCCCGACTTGTACGTGGTCTCACAGGTCAATGCAACGAGCGCGATGAACTTGATCACAAGCCTGATCATGGTCCAACGAAGAGAGGTGCGACAAAAGCATTAGTTTGTGCTTTCAGATAATGGAGGGTATCGGGCTGCATAGTCTTGGAGTCAGCAGAGAAAGCGGTCAAAGTAGACAGTTGTGGCCACGCTCGAGCCTTTCAAAGTTCAGCGCCTGTGAATAGGTCCAAGTCATCTGTGTACGAGGGAGAACGCAACGCAAATGGCCAAGTCGATGTAGTTGTGTAACATGGTGACCTCAGTGCATGACACTGCTATGTATACTGATGTCGATAAATGTCTTTCTTATCATATCGACATAAAACATTTCACAAAAATAATGAAAAAGCGAAAAATATATAGGTACTAAAAGGAAAGAGGAGATGTCAACTGTATATCACAATTTACGTTAACAACAAAAAGGCACGACGAGATGACATGTAAAAGACACTTGACGATGCGTACAATGCACCAACAACTCATCACGCGGTAAGAGTGTTCATGGAAAGTAAATTATATAGTCGTTAGTCGTTGAAGTGCATGAACGCATCTTTACGATTCAATCGAAATTGAGCTTTGATGTTTGTTCAGTAAATTCAGATCGGTTTTTTGCAAACATTCATCAAGCTCATTGCTGACCGTGAGGAAACTACGTCAGCAAAAAGTTCTGTCCGCAATTTAGTACCTGTGATACACGATCATCAGTAAATTGATTGACGCAGAAATACCGACTTTTGAATGAGCATCGTCTTATGCCTGTAAGTATACGTGCTACATGCTAATGTGAACCTAGACGACCAAGATATGTACCCACCCTGGTGTGTACTGTGCCTTTTCGATCGACGGAAATGCGGCACTGCTTTCATATAGCAATATATGGATCATAATCGAGACTAACTTGGTGCGCTATATCAGCCTATTTTAAAGTTTTTGCAGGCCCATATGAAAACGTTATTCGTCCGAAGCCAAGTTTTGAAATATTTCCTGATGCGCGACCACTTGCAAAGTCCGAATTTCTTCTTGCGTCCATTCAAACGACTAGGCAAAACATGCTCATAATCGGCATAATGAATGTTCTTTTCGTATTTCACTTCACTGCCTTAATGAAAGAAGAAGACATAATCAGAAAAATCATCACCAGCACGAGATGCAGAACATGCATACAGTGCCATATGTGGAGTGTTACAAGAGCATATGTAACTACTCGATTAAACAGTCAAGTGTGCACATTTGAAAAAAATGATTTTCGTCAGTTCGTCTACTTAATAATTGGGTTTCAGAAGAAAATTGCCATTAAAATCGAAAGAAAAGTCTGCGCGGGGATTTCTGGGGCGGCCAAATGTGGCTCGCCACGAGCCAAAATTGATGAAAATTTTTGGGCTATTGGGTCCTATAAGATCGCGTAAAAATTGACAAATTTGTACCATACTCCAGCCATCTATGGTCTTGGATTTGTGTTCAAGGTAGTACGGGTGGGGAGTAGCTGACTGACAAGATACAATAATGCTACAGGTTATAGACGGGCACACTATACCAAGTCGAAACTGCGTCGAGCCTCCTTCCTCTTCCTTTTGTTGTTCCATTTCTTTGTCACCATCTGCCGCATCATCGTTCGTCTCAACTCGAGATGTCGTAGCCTTTCTGTTCCAGCTGTCCGCTATAGTGGTCCTCCGCATTGGTGCTAGACAACAACAATGTCTCCTCGTCTTAGCTCTTTTGCACCTTTGCTTTGTATACCAGAAGCTCGAAGTAGTTTGATTTTTCGTTACAAAAAGCACAGGCCCAACGATCGAACCGCTACGTCTGTTCATCCGTAGCAGCGACAACTTGTCCGTTGTCGAGATTCGAGCTTCTTGTCCTTGCCGCTCGCTTTATGCAAAACCCACACGTTTTCGTACCCAGCTATCTTCTGTCGTGCTCCTGCCACGTTTTCCTGATTCGAAGTCAGCAGGCAACAACGTACCGTCGGCTACTGCTCCGTCGGCGACGAAATCAAACACATCGCACAATTGTTGCCTGTACTCGTCTTACACCTCCCACTTGTCGTCGCCACACACGTCGCCACCTCGCCTGTTGCCTGGTCGTCGCGCGCGACTGCACGTCACGCTTGTATTCGTCTTGGCTTTTGCAGGTCGATCACCCCTTCTATTCATTCGACGGCGAATCAGCATCCATAGCCGATAGATGAGACCTATCAGCCTTTTATGTGCAACGCGGTCCGAGCGCGGTACACGCAGGATTCACCCAAGATCGGCATTCCGGTCTGCTTCTGATTCATGCCATACTGATCGGTCCCATCCAGAATGATCATTGAAGTACAATTGCTTCTGGTCTAGTTGATGACTGCCACCATGACGGATATTGTACTGTGGCCCAGTCAGGCGTGTTGTGTTCGAATTGGGATCGTGCTCTGTACTCTAGTGCGGATCGATGCGGTAGGTCAAGAGCCCCAACGGCCTGTGATCCCGTGTAGCCTTACATCCCGCTTGTCATCGCCACACGTTGCATCCTCCTCCGTTGCTTAAATAAGTCCCGATTTCGGCTCTTCGAGTAACAACGGACAGAGACGAGGGCCTCCTAAGAGCCAGTACTGTAGCCCCCTTTCCTTTGGACTGGATGTCTCTCCTCAGTGAGACCAAGGAATAAAAGAGAAGAGACCTTCTGCCGTTGCGTGCTCTACGATAGGCAGCGCAGCGTGCAACCGGAAAGAGGATCAACAATCAAGACACCCCACGGTGAGGGCACGGCAAGAGCAGTTGCCGCCCCTACCAAATTCCTGCTATTCTACGTCCGCCCTCATGTCACCAGCCCGGTCGCCGAGCGTGATTCTCGATCGCACGAAGCGAACTTACCCAGAACGCGATTTGATCGAACCCGTTCAGGTGCGTTCTCGGCCCGTCGAAGGTGATCGGACAAGCTGCCTGTGTATTCCGCAACTCCAGCGCCCTGTCTGCACCCTGGACGGGACACCCGATTCCGCCTGCCCAATGCGAAGTGCACCTTGTGGCGCCCGTCGTCTCGAGCCAGCAGATGGAGTGATCGAGTAGGAGAATAGAGTTGTCTAAAGAAAAAGCACACCGATACCGTATCGTTGAGAGCACTTAATCGACGTTCAGCTTCTCTCTCCAATGGCCCTGTCGTCGCGTGCGACTGCACGTCACGCTCGTATTCGTCTTGGCTTTTGCAGGCCGATCACCCCTTCTATTCATTCGACGGCGAATCAACATCCATAGCCGGTACATGAGATCTATCGGCCTTTTATATGCAGCGCGGTCCGAGCGTGACACACGCTGGACGCATCAACACCGGCGTTTGAATCTGCTTTTTGGGAAAAGCTTATCGGCACAGCTGTGCGAAAGAGTAAGGATGGATGGATGGATGGCATGCCACGCGCTAAAAGCGCTCATTGCAGCGTGTCAGGTCAAGGTGTCTTGAGCAATGTTCCGTCTCTTGACGAACGAGTAATACAAATTGATGTTTTATACACCGCATCGAACTTGATTCTCCCATGCCACGGCTCTCCTACGGCGGATGCCTCGAACGAACCAGTCGATCTCGCGGCTTCGATCATCTGTCATTTTGGTTTTCGCCATGACCAAGTCCCCTCTTTCGATGCGGGTCTTTTCGTTCGCACTCATGGCCTCATCCGCGATCCAGTCACGCGCCGACGGCACCATAAAGGCTGCAGGTCCCGAGTCTAGGAGTCTTTATGGCTCTGATGTCGTCCATACAACATCCACTGGCCAAGACAGCATCGCTTCCGACAAGTTGCTCATCATCAACGACACCAGCGCCGAAGAGGAGAAAATGATGGATTTGGTGTGGCTGGGTGACTCAGTCGCGCGGTTGATTAACTGGACCAAGGATGAATACTTCTTCAAAGATCTCATAGCGCTCGAAGAGATGCACCCAGTGGGTATTGACGCAATCGCGGAAGACAGTCCAGAGTTCGAGAAACTGACCCGGTTCCTAGTAAAGGGTAACCAGCGAATGGTCGGTGACTTGCTCCGCACGCGCTCGGACAATCGTTGGCCAGTATTACTTGCCGTGCTGACAAGATTCGGCCATGCAGGTTGGAGAGACGCAGGACGTGAGCTAATGGTTCCTATGATGGCCGACTGGCGTAGCCAAGGAATTCGGGTCGACCGACTCCTCCAGAAATTCACCGATCCGTACCGTATCATGTTTGGTTTCACTGACTATGAACGTCTATACCACGACGTGGTTTGGTCGTTTTGTCGTTTTAAGTACATGGAAAAAGGAGATGCGGAGTACCTTAAGGCCATGATGGAATTACATGAAGGGAAGGGCGGCTTCATACAAGGACTGCACTATATACTTCAAAAGTCAAACGACAAGGCGCGAGCGGTTGAGCTATTGGACCTGATGCTGGGAGAACTCATTGTGTCCGGTGTGGCTCCCCACAAAGCTTTCCAACAGCTGGCGCTTCAACAATATAAGGGAGAGTTGTTTGACGATGCGCTCCTACCGCTGTTGAACAAGTGCGTCATCCTGCACAACAAATTTTCCGAGGACACGACGACTCTTTCCAAGGAGCTGAGGCTCCTACGAGGAGCTAGTGAGCCGAAGAAGACGGTTGAAGAGCATGCTGAGACGTGGCTAGAAGCTCAAGGAACGAAGGCCAAACCCCAGTACGTTTTGAGGCTAGTCTTTCGGGAATGGCAGCTGCATGGGGCGCCTTTTGGTGGCGAGCCGAACAAAGGCTGGAATAAGTTACGCGACGAGTACAAAGAATTTTTGGCAACGGAACGCGCCAAAACAAAATATCAGTAACCGGTTCCATAGACTAAAGCTCTGCCGCTTATTTGCGACCAAAAACGAACTCGTCTTGTAGCTTAGTGCTTAACAGCCTACGTAATACATTTTTTTGATTGCCATCTACTTGTACATGCGCAGCAAGACCTATTCTACCTGGCACTGGCCAGCCGAGCGACGCGTCATCTGCTCGACTTGTAGTAATCGTCGTCTACTCATCTTTTTTCCAGTAAGCGTTCGTTACATCATTGTCAAAACGTCGCAAGATGCAACATGACCTTGTTGGTGAAGATCGATAAAGCAATATCATGCTTTCGTATTACGATCATAAGGGCAAAGTTATGAAAGCATTTGCGTGCTGTGACAGCTGTACTTCTCAAACTCTACTTTCTGTCTATGCTAACATCTACTTCTGTCCACGTTTGTGCGCTCGCGCGTAGTTCATTCTACACTTCATGCAAGGTTCGATCGAGCCGGTGCTTTTTAATGCGCATCTATATGCATGTTCGTGCCGCTCATTGATTTGGCACAAATTGCGACCGACCGCTCAAGAGTCGTGTGTCGTACACTCGCGCATACGCAAATGGTTGACTCACACGATAGCGCAGACGAACAAATTGTCGACGCTTGAAAATTCTTGACGCTTGGTGTAGCATTGCCCTCCGCATCTTTGACACCACAGCACCTCCTCGTCCGGCGGCAGAGAGAAATCACAAGCTGTTGCCTTCTTATCAGACAGCTTCATGTCATCGGCCGCACTGTGGTCTTGTGATTGCACAGGCGAAAACTGCCGTCGCCTCTCTTTCCTTGCAATTTTTAAACACGTAAGGTGCAATTGCTAAAAGGGTTTCTACAATAGGATTGGCAATAGTGTATGCCTTCTTCGTTAATGACTGTAAATACATGATATGGTGGTACGCTTTGTTAATGCAACCACAGAGAACGGTCTGCTAAGAAAACTTGTACTTGGAACTTGTGGTGGATAGGACACATAATCGGTTCAGTACTAAGTGCGTTTGGTCGGATCTGATACGTGTCAGCCACCTAGAGAGATAATCACCAAATTCTACACCGAAGAGGTCTAAAGCTTACATTTCGGTACTAGACATTGTTATTCACCTTTTAAACTTAAAAAAATTGGCTCATGTTTTGAGCAAAAGAGAGCAAAACTGGTTTGGGCGTAAATCTCGAGATTTTTTTGCTATTGGTTTTAAGAAGGGGAAATGAAACAAACGCCCCAGATATTGAGAAAAATAAAATGCCTCAGATGAAAAGAAATTAAAAAAATACCCCCGATAAGTGGAAAATAAAAAATGCTCACGTCCTAGTATACCTAAGTGCCTCTCATGTCGAGAATCATGATGCAGCCACACTTAAATGAACTCAAGAGCAGCATATCGATACAAGTTCTGGTTCTTGTTATGACGGTACTAAACGCAATTTGTATGAGCACGATGCAACCTACTCTATTCCCTCACAGATGGCTGGTCATCCAGAGTGAAAGTTGCTTATATACGATAGTTATAATAAGCCTTGTCATTGGTCTTAAACTCAGCTCGGTAGGAGCAGCACTACACTCGTCTTTTTATAAATACACACACGCGCACGTACACTGTCCGTCATTGAGCACCAGCACGCGCGTGTTGCGGGCGTCCGTGAACGCGACCCCATCCACTGCAACAACTGCATCTCGTGCCTTTATTTGCTGCCACACGCGACTGCATCGTCACTTGCGGTTGCTCCGGATGCTGCGACTCCGACTCAAGCTCCAACGTCGTCGTCCACGACTCGAGCTGCGACTGTGAATCAAGCTCCGCCGGCGTTGGGGCGGACTCGGCGAGCGTCGATGTTGCCCGGTGCCTCGTGTCACCGACTCGGGACTGCTACGTCTTCCGCTGTGGAACGGCGACGGACCACGTCGACGTATTTACGTCGGTAAGCGCGAAAATGCGATCCCACAAGTAGAACAACATTAATAGTAGCCGCAGCACCTGCACCAACAACAGCAGCAGCAGCAACAGAAGTAGCAGCATCGCCAATACACACTGAAACAACAGGAGCAACCGCAACATCGACAACAACAACAACAACACCAGAAACAGCAGCAGCAACATAAACAATAGCAACTGAAACAACGATACCAAAAGCAATAACATTAATATCAACAACATTATCACCGACCGAATGTGTATACATTCGCGAATAATGATAAGAAGACGCGTTCACGTCGTCATATCTCGTGTCTACGCGCGCAACTGGTGGGTGCAAGCGCACCACGCCCGCGGCAGAACCCTCTCCGCGGCTTCCAAAACATGGCGGGGGTTGGTCATGGCCGTAAACTGGGAATACGGAAATGATTAAGGACGTGTTATTGTATGTGTACCACATTAACTTGAGTATACTAGGACGTGGATAAATTTTTTTTGTTCGAATTATCTGGGGCATTTTTTGTATTTTCCAATTATCAGGGATATTTTTTTTTAATTTGCTAACTATTTGGGGCATTTTTTATTTTCGTGATTAAATGAGGCATTTTTTTATTTTCTCTTTAAAGATAGATTTGTTGCTGTGTGAAATTGATAATTACTTAGAATGTAATCAAAACTCCAACAACTGATATGGCTGAATTAGTGTGGCGGACAGTTCGTCCGTTTTAGCCGCTTCAAACAAAACGATGTAACCTGGTTTAGTGAACAAAGGGGTTCGCTGAACCGCAAGTAAAACTCTTCGTATAATATTGTGTACCATCGCACCAACAGAGATGATCCCAATATAAAGATTACTGTGCGGTGTATACAAAGCGATATCAACGTAAAAATCGTTTTATTATAATGTGGCGGTGTCTGTGGTGATCGTACGTGTCACGGGGTGTGACCGTCTCACGATATGTTAAGCGTGCCTTATCAGATAGCCGCATCAAGTAGCGCTAGGTAATGGTGATACAAACGTGCGTAGTAACACGCTGCAACCTATTTAGTGGGATTAGTATGTCGTATTCTGATCTTGCTAATCATTGGGTACACAACGCTAATTCAAATATAAGGATACAGTCAGAATTGAATGGCTCTCTTAAGACCTGAGACCATTCATACTTCGTAAAAATTAAAATGAAAAATATGTCAAATGCGAAATCACGGTTCAAATTGTGGATATATTATCTTAATCGATATACGATTTGGAAGACGCGTGTTCGGCTTACGCTTCCTCGTAAACCTACCTAGTGAGTGTAAAGGTATGTAATTGTAGTCAAATCTCTTATTCTGGTAATTAACTTAATTGAGCATTATATTAGGTATACTACGATACCATTATATATGTATACACTTTGCCTAGTACTTGTAGCGCGCGTCTCGTATTGACTGGTAGTTACATCGCCTCATACATTCGCCAATATGAGCAAGCGAGACTTAAAAAAAGGAAAGAGGATGATATGCAGCTACAAAAAATCGTAGCTGCAAAATGAATATGCTACGAACAAAATTTGATAAGACAATGTCTACATCGATAAGCGTTTCAAATTCGACCTCTATAGAATAAGGCTCGCGCATTACGTCTCCCTTTAACCATAAGTAACGTTCGTACTATGAAACAGTAAACTCTTGGTCGCATTCGGCTGAATAATTAATGTTATCACTTCTTACATGTCGACAACGCTTCATGCTTCACTTTTAAGCCCTATTGTAGGTAAAGTTCGACTCCATCTGATTGGTTGTAATTGTTACAACTTGACATTGGGGAGACGTACGGTGAGTGGAACGACCAAGATATCAAGGGTTGTCGGACCGTGAAATACTGTCGACATGTGGGATTAGCATGTGAAGACGTGCGGACTGGACGCACGCCATGTGCAAGTTGACCTGGTTGAGCTGCAATATAAGCGAATCTTACAGTGTACGTGTGAATGAAAGAGGTTCATACTGAATATGTATAGCTTTTACCTTTAATCTACTTTGCATGAGAGTATTCAAACGCAACGTTCGACACACATCCACTTTAGTACTTGCTAGCTGTATTCATTTATATAAAGTGCGTCATTTCATGGTTCGAATACTATGTAGTGCTCAGCGAAGAATACAAGGACTACATCCGAATAGTATTGCAGCAATATATTTTTACTCTTTGAACCAAGCAGCCGGCGATCAGTCGTCGGCTGCAGGTAACATATTCTAGAGCTTATTTCGTTTCTAGTGATCTGCTTTGCATCTATGTGAACGAATGTACCTAGCTCAGCTTTTTGATTTTGGAGAGAGTAGTTGGATATACGTATCAAAACACCCGTCAGAAGATGTTTCTTACTACTCAGCATTATTCAAGCATAACGAAAGACAATATTTCGACAGGATCGTTCTAATGAGCCCTACATCCAGTACATCTGAGTCTTAAACAAACACGAGAGAATGACATTAGTAATATTAAAGGGCATTCCGTCCAGCATGCAGTTTTATTGACTACACAAATTTGCTTCTATTCAGCCGTTTTAGCAGTCATCAGATCGTGGTGTGAATACATCTGATGAAATATGGTATCGTTAATTTGTCCGAAACATATCACGTCTGCTAATGCATCTCCAGACCCTTTTGCTACAGCGTTAGATCCATCGTATGTCGGGACAAACGGCGATCGGCATCACTATCTTTTCTTTCATTCAAATAGTATTGATGCTAGCATTTACCGTGGTATTTACATCGAAGTCTTCCTCATTTTTATTATCCTTCGCATTACGTATATGATATTTATATCACTCGACGAGGACTGTTTCGGCGCCAATTGCGTGTTTGAATCAGCACAAAGCCTATGAAGAATGTAAATTTCTGCGGCACAATATATGTGAGAAGTTTATTTAATAACTAAAGTATTTGAATTTAAAGATACAGAGTTATGATGCCTCTATATATTGGAAATGATCAAGTTGCATCGAGAACTCAGGCCGTGCCATTACTTTATTAATATAATCTGTAGAGAGTCTTGCATCTATTTTCAGACGCGCAACATCATAGAAGGTTACGATACCTTTGCTA